ACTGATTTTTAAGAAAGCTTTGCGTGTTCTTGTCATTCAAGTTTGTTTCTTGTAATATAATAAGATCCAGTTTGTAGAATTTTAAAAGAGTTAAAGTATTTCGTTGTTTTTGCTGATTGTTTAGCTCTTTTACGTTAAGGCTAGCAATTTTGAATTTAAATTGTCTAGTCATATTAAAAGTAAAGTAATACAGATTTTAGATCTGTAGATTCTGTGCTTCATTACAAGATTTTTTGTATGGAGCTGGCCTAAATGTTTCGATTTTCTAGCTTGCAAGGTCTTTTTTGCTTTTTTTGTTTTTTCTTTTTCTTTGTGAAATTAAAGTAAATCCATCATCAGGTTTTTCAGGTTGGAATTATAAAGTATCTTCATTTGTGATTAGCACTACTGGAGAGTTGTAAGATTTTGGTTCTTCTATTTCTATAAGTAGAATTGAAATTGGATTTTTTATCACCGAAGCTTCATTGCTAGTGTCATTGATGAATTCATCAATTAGACTATCTTGGTCATTTCTTATTGATGTAGAATTACTTATTTCTTCATTTTTTTTGGCATCAATAGTATTATGAAGAATTTCCTCTAATTGGAGTTCTTCTATATCTGCTTCTTCCATAGACTTGTTTTGTTTTTGCTGGTTTGTATTTATGTTTTCTAAATCTACTAATAGATGTTTTTTTTTTTTTGTTAGAAAGAAATTCTTTATATTGTCGACGAAGTTCAATAGCCTCTTTGTATTATATGCAGGCTTTTTTGATATGTCTTTCATTGTCACAGAAGTAGCAAAGCTTGGAAGCTGCACACCATTTTGTGGTAACTTTGTTATCAAGAATAATATAGAAACAAGTGATCTTTTTTTCTAAATCTGAATCTTCTGTAGTCTCGAAGGTAACAATCCACTAATCAGTTAGATAAGATATGCCTTCTATTAACAAAGGCTTAATTGAAGCAATTTTTCCAAAGTTTTCGAAAGCAACTTTGATTCTCTCTGAAATAAAATCCTTGTCACCTAAAGGGACATTTCTGATCTTTACTGGCAAAAAGGATCTTCTGGTATCAACATGAATATGTCTATAATATGTGTAATTAAAAATTTCAACACCTTTAGTAGCATAATATTTGAGCTTTTCCTCATTTGTAAAAATTAGTTCTAGGTAGGTA